TTAATAGGATTATTTGTCTTTTTGTTGTAGAGGTGTTGGATTTTCTTGTAGATTATGGAGATTAGACCTTTGTCTGACTCATACTGTCCAAAATTTCTCTCCCAGTCTGTAGGTTCTCTTTCTACTCTTTTGGTAAAGTCTTTTGAAGAACATAGGTGTTTGATTTTTAGAAGATCCCAGTTATTTAACTTATCTTTTGGCATTTGTGTGTTGATGGTTATGGTTTGTATTAATGCCATGTATTAGGGCCTGTAGCGTTGGTCTTATTTTTTCTTCTACGAACTTTAAAATTTTTGGCTATATACTTAGGTCTTTGATCCATTTTGAATTAGTTTTTGTGTATGGCATGAGGTATGGGTCCTGTTTCATTTTTTTGCAGATGGATATCCAGTTTTGCCAGAACCATTTGTTACAAAGACTCTCTTTTCCCCATTTGATGGACTGTGCCCTTGTCGAAGATCAGGTGACTACAGATGGATGGATTTACATCTGGGTTCTCAATTCTGTTCCATTGGTCAGTGTATCTGTCGTTGTACCAGTAGCAGGCTGTTTTGACTACCGTAGCTGTATAGTACATTCTGAGGTCAGGTAGTGTGAGTCCTCCTACTTTATTCATCTTCTTCAGTAGTGCTTTACTTATTTGGGGTTTCTTCCCTTTCCGTATAAAGTTAATGATTAGTTTTTCCATCTCTTTGAGGAATGTTGTTGGTATTTGGATTGGGATTGTGCTGTATTTGTAAATTGCTTTGGGTAGAATTGTTATTTTCACAATTTTGAGTCTACCTATCCATGAGCATGGTATGTTTTTCCATTTATGTAGATCCTTTGGGTTTCTTCCAGTAGTGTTTTATAGTTTTCTTTGTATAGGTCTTTTACATCCCTGGTTAGATTTATTCCTAAGTATTTTATTTTTTCAGGGGCTATTATAAATGGTATTGTTTTCCTGATTTCCTTTTCATTGTTCTCTTTATTGGTGTATAGGAATCCAACAGATTTTTTTATGTTTATCTTGTATCCTGCTACTCTGCTGAATCT